GGGTTTTGTGGCATGTATCTGGCTCGGTTCACTTCACCCTCGTGATTAATTTTGATTTCGATTTCGATTTTACCTGAAACAGAACCAAAGCCACCAAATTCCCCTTTATCATTATCGTAGTGGCTGGCATCGAATTGAGCATCCTCGTTTGGCAACTGAACGCTGGCAATCAACAAATGGTTTTGTTCGTCAGATGTGTGTGTGCCCAAAATCAAACGATGCACTGAATAATCCTTTCCCTCCGGTTTTGTAACGTCCGGCAACCATTGGGCAGTAAGTGATGGCCATTCCAATGCATGTGTCATCACCAAATCATACAGGAACGGTGTGTTCTTTTTCCATATCTTGTACTCCTCGTTGATAACGCGCTCTTCGACTCCATCGTCAAATGCTATAGAAATATGAAACCGGGTAGACATTTTAATATTAGCAATTAATCACAGTATACTTGAAAAATATGTCAATATTCCATTTCAAATGGAATTATATCGAAAGAATATTTACCTCCGTCAGCGCGTTCCGTCATTTTTGATGTTTTTTTTTTACAAAATAACAAATTCCAAATGAAAAACAGTAAGCTTGTGTTGGTATATAACCTAATTGTGATTGTCTGTGTTGTATTCTACCGCCAAACGCCAAATGCCACTATGGAAATGATAAATTTTTTATAAATCAATGTTTTTGATCGTTTCAAACACATTCACTTGATTATTATTATTAAATTCTATCTTTTGAACACAGATATATCTATTTGGATGATTTTAAAGTTGTAATTTTACATGTTTTATATCGAAAAGCCGAAAATAAAATACTCACGATGTATTGATGATTTCAGCTTCAAGACGCTATAAAAATGCGGTTAAAATGTGAAGTTGTCCATTGCATACTATGGTTTCAAAACAATGAAAATGTCGAATAGCGCCATATTTCGAAAGAGAATGCACGGAGACAACTTCATGGTTGACATTGAATCTATTTTTAGTAATTTTTCAGTGATTTTCCTAGCAAAATTTTACTCAAAACAGAATTTAAAATGACTTTTAATTTCATTTGCAAAATTATCAACGCAAAAAATGGACATAAACATGGAAATTCGTTTTTCGTTGCCGCAGAATATTCGAGATACAAGATGCGGTTTGACAAATGTCAATTCCAATATATGTGTCTCTTTTTGGCGCCCGTTTAGAATAGGTGTGTTTCAGTACATTGTATTACCATCGAGTTTCCATTGGAAATACGTTCAGTGGATGAGAACTTAACCTCTGAATCAGTATTTTTGACGGCCTAGCACGCGACTTTACCATTGTCTTTTCGATACAGTTGTATTTCATTGCATACGGAATTTTTTTTTTTGCAAAATGTTCGGTGGACAACAGCCAATATTGGTTTTAAGTGAGTTATTTTGGATTTTTTCCATGGAAACCTCTTATAAAATGATGTTCTTTGTTTAATTTAGGCCAAAACACAAGAAGAGAATCCGGTCGAAAGGTGCAGCTGGAAAACATAAATGCCGGAAAGGTGAGTCAGACGTCTTTTTCAAAATCGTGATCACATGAAAAAGTGTAGACTCGACCAAATTTTGAGAAATCCATAGATTTTTCATGACATTTTTCCACCATTTATGTCAAATTTGATTGAATATAAAAAAAAAAATACTGTTGCTTTTGTAGGCCATCGCTGATGTCATCCGAACATGCTTGGGACCACAAGCCATGTTGAAAATGTTGATGGATCCAATGGGCGGCATTGTTATGACCAACGATGGAAACGCAATTTTGCGTGAAATCACCGTTCAACATCCGGCTGCAAAGAGTATGATCGAAATTGCACGCACACAAGATGAAGAAGTAGGCGATGGAACCACATCTGTCATCGTTTTGGCTGGTGAAATTTTAACCGTTGCTGAACCATTTTTATCTCAACAAATCCATCCAACGGTCATCATTCGACAATTCCGTGAAGCATTAGAATACATCATTGAATTGCTTGAAGGATCGAAATTCAACAGTCTCAGTGTTCCAGTTGAACGTAGCGACAAAAAAACAATGCAAAAAGTCGTAAGTATCTTTTGAAACGAATGATTATTGCTGAAGGTCAAGAACATTGAATTAAAAATGTGGATATGACACTCTTTGTTTGTAGATTAAATCGTGTGTTGGAACCAAATTCATTGGCCGCTGGGCAGATTTGGCTGTTCAAATTGCATTGGACGCAGTCGAAACAGTTGCAATCAGCGAAAATGGTCGCACTGAAGTCGATATCAAGCGATATGCTAAAGTCGAAAAGATTCCAGGCGGTTCGATCGATGAATCGCAAGTATTGAAAGGTGTAATGGTCAACAAGGATGTGACACACCCGAAAATGCGACGTGAAATCAAAAATCCACGTATCGTGTTGCTTGATTGCCCGTTGGAGTACAAGAAGGGTGAGAGTCAAACGAGTGTTGAAATCGTTGGCGACCAAGACTTCACACGAATGCTTCAAATCGAAGAGGAGCACGTACAACGTGTTTGCGCTGATATCATTGCTGTTAAGCCAGATTTGATATTCACCGAAAAGGGTGTTTCGGATTTGGCACAACATTACTTAGTCAAAGCTGGAATCACAGCCATTCGTCGTGTACGGAAAACCGATAACTTGCGTATCGCTCGTGCTTGTGGCGCCACGATTGTGAACCGTACCGAGGAATTGACGGAAAAAGATGTTGGCACTGGCGCTGGTTTGTTTGAAGTTAAGAAAATTGGCGACGAATACTTCACCTTCATCACCGAATGCAAAGATCCAAAAGCCTGTACGATTTTATTGCGTGGCGCATCAAAAGACGTGCTCAACGAAACCGAACGTAACTTGCAAGATGCTTTGCATGTAGCGCGCAATTTGGTAATTGAACCACGTATCGTGCCAGGTGGCGGTGCCATCGAAATGGCCTTATCATTGGCGCTGATTCGCAAGAACAACCAATTCCGTGCGATCGCACAAGCCTTGGAAATCATCCCACGAACACTGGCACAAAACTGTGGAGCAAATACCATTCGCACGTTGACCGCACTTCGTGCTAAACATGCATCACAACAGTCCGGCTTGTGCACGTGGGGTATCGATGGTGAAAGCGGTCAATTGGTTGATATGAATGAGCGCGGCATCTGGGAACCATTGGCTGTTAAATTGCAAGTGTATAAGACCGCCATTGAAACAGCTATACTTTTGTTGCGTATCGATGATATTGTATCCGGTTCAAAGAAGAGAAGCAACGACGGCGGTATGCCTACTCCAAGCCAAGCAGCAATGGGTGCTGAATAAAATCCCCAAATTGAAACTCACACTACTAATTAAAAAAAGTCTTTATTTTTCTTTTGCTTAGTTTCACAAAATCTTCACAATTTTCAGCATAAACACGAAAAAAAAAAACACCTTAAACACTAATACATTTTGTTTCATCCATTGCCGAAACTATACACACACTGTATTAATTTGATCAAAAAAGCGTTTGTAACTGCGAACCAAAATAATAAAACATAATGAGAGTTACAAAATCAGTTTTTTTTTTTAAATTGTTCATGTTTTAGAATAATCTTGGAAATCTATTGCCAGATAGATCTTGATGAAGTCCATTGACAACATTCTGTATTCCACCGACCGGTGTGCCTGGTTTCCATCTATCAATCTGCAAAATTTTCGATTGGATTAAATAATAAATCTTGGACTTTTTTTATTTTATTACCTCGTTTGGATTATTGTCATGGTCGTTGTCTTCGCGAATCGGTTTCACGCCGTTGCCCGCTGCCGTTGGAGCAGCAACTACGTTTGTGTTTGGTCCAAAAACTCCACCAAATACATTCGAGAAATGTGACCAAAAGGGATTGTTTTTATGACCGGGCTGTTGTATAGGACGCTGTGGATTCTGATTACCGCAGAAATAGCCTCCGTAGCTATTATACGGCGGTTTGGCTCGTCGGGGATAAAATTGCTGAGGAACACACGGTTTTCCATTCTGATTCAGATTCGATGGCCTAAGAGCAAGAAACTCATCAATCGATTCTTGCCGATAGGTGTTTTGCTGTGCAAAACCTCCCGGATTCAAAATTGATCTTCCAAAATCGAATTGTGGAATAGCTTCGATGATTTCAAAAATAATAACACTCAACACGATTAACACAATGCAATACGAACGGTGATGGGACATCTCATAAAATTTTATTTGCAAATTATTATGAAAAGTATTACAAAGATTTACTTCTAAAAATTAAGAGCCGAGTGAAGATACTACAGCATCAGCTTCTAGATGCTTCAACGACAAAAGCAGCTTAAATAACACTTTCAATTTTTGAAAAATCATTTTATAATCGAATTTCATTCCCCCAACCTATAATTGCGACAAGTTTACTGGTTTCCATTTCAATTCGCAATTCGCATATTGTGCGTATCCAACGTTTCAGAAACACACCTTGAAATTTGTCGATAACCCACCCACATATTTTTACGATGAATTTGGAGATAGATTCTTAGCATTTCCAAAAGCCGTGTTCAACAACAATAAATTTTATCTTTTTTTGGGTGTTCATGACCATCTTGTCAGCTTCAGTGTGTCACGAAAAAAAGAAAAACAAAAATTGCTTGCATTTTTCAGTTGTTCGTTGTTTGTGATTGCCCGGCCGTCATACATACAGATTTTGAGATTCAGTAAACAGTAAATAAAACAATGGATGAACTTGTATTCTTTTTACATTTGCAGTACGTTTTTGCTAATATTTTCCGTGGAAAAATCATGTAGAGTTTCAATAAAAATTTAAAATGGAATTGGTTTCGTTGCAGGAAAATAAACTTGTAAAATGAGTTCGCAAATTGCGTTGAACAAATTGTCAACGACCATATCATGTAAAAAGCACCAGTTCTCGTCCGATCACTGAAGTTAAGCTGCATTGAGCATGGTTAGTACTTGAATGGGTGACCGTCTGGGAACACCATGTGTCGTTGGCACTTTTTTTTTTGATAAGTTTTGAATCGTATTACAGACATTGATTTTTTTTTTCAAAGATCAAAATGATTTATCTCTTTTCCTACATTGTATAGTTATAAAGTCATTTCAATAGGGCTACAAATTCAATATAAATATTTTACAGTCAATCATAGCTAGAAAATTGAATGCGCCAAAATACACACCTCTTCCTAATAACGAATATGCATCCAAATAATTATCGAACATTTAGTTAAATACTGGCGCTTAGATTTTTCCCAGTCAATCAGATGAATATTTCACAAATCATCATCAATATATTTAATTATTTACATATTTATTTTATTTTTTTATTTATTCATCACTTATTGTCACCTTTTCAAAGCCTAATCTCAAACTAACCCAAATTAATCAATACCAAACAAAAAGAAATTCATGTACACAAAATTAGGTAACCTATTATTCAGCCAGTATTTGGCGGTGTCAATAAATAATAATAACAATGTTGATGATTTGGTACATATAATAAATATTTTGTTTGCTTGCTAATCAGGTGATTCTGATACGAATGTCATATGAGCTCGCTTTTTTCGGCTAGTGTGAAAATAAAACACGTTCACGTTGAATTTCGGATGAAAATTGAATCAAAATGGTGCTTCTATTCGTTGATTATTCTCTAAATCGTACATACACGACAAGGTTACGACGGTTAAATAGCATTTGCAAAATTGAAGCGAACTTTTGATGAGGCTTCATGTGAACAAATTTGTTATATATGAATGCATGAGCGCAAAAGAGCAACTTGGATTCGCAGTATTTTAAAGTGTAACATCTCCATACATATATGCCGCAGGATTTTTTTTTTTCAATTCGATTGCTCGATTGTTACATGCATATCGAATCATATGCTGAATATCTCATTCAATATCTTATTAGGGGGCTGAAAAAAGTTTTTTTCATAATTGTTTTGGCATAATTATCATATGCGCCACAAAGATTATTCTGAAAAACTAAATCGTACTCGTAATCAACTAATTTCGGTTGGGCACACTCATTCTTAATTCTTCTTACTCATGAATTTCTGGTAAAGGTTCATAATTTACTCGTTTTTGGTACTGATTATAAGACAGTTTATTTTAACGGAAAACAAATTGCGTTGCACAAATGCACGTCAGGAGAGACCAAATGATATGAGACCTAGACGAATCTGGTTTATGGATTTCCTCGTCTAATTTTGTATTTTTTCGAAATATAGATTTTGTGTAGGGCAAAAAAAACAACAGTTCTACGTTTAACGCACTTATCTAAGATAAGTAAAAATAAGTTTAAAAAATATGGAATTTTTGCTATAATTGCGCGTATTCATTTAGATGAAACGTATCCAAATGCGATCTGTGGAATCAGCGTAGGGAAAATAGATAAATTCGTTGAATAAAATTTGGATCAGAGGCAGATAATCACAGATGATGCATTAATGTCAAAATCCAGTAATATAATAACCGGTTGTAGAAATTATCAAGTAACATGCAAATATTCGCGCAGAGAATCGCGAGCCATGCACGTGGAAAACATAAGACGCGATGTAGTAAACGTTCACATCGTGCGCTGAATCGTCGAAAATGAAATAACCGAACGACACGGAAAATGTTTATAAATAAATTCATTGAAGCGTTCGAATTGACTCAGTTCATCGTGGCCGGCCTGATTGAATGGTAGTGCTAGATTTTTATTTGGTATAGCTTAAACTTTCAACATTCTATCAAGTGGTTTTTAAAAGTTTTTTTTCTCAAGAAAATCACATTTTTTCATCGTCCAAAAGACTTTCATTTTTGTTTGACCAACAAGTGATATAATTATACACTAATCAGCTATGCTTGAAAAGATATATTGCCATTGTGTAAAAAAGTAAAGATGTTTGTATATGGCACTATCATCGATCAATGAATGAAAGTTGTTGAGGTGTCTGCGTTTTTAAAACTAATGAAGCATTCATGAAATATTAACTCGTGCTGAAACTGTTAACCTGAAAGAATCACATTAATCATGACCAGTGGAGACCAAACTGTCACAAAGTTAGTGTAACACAAAATCTAAAATATTTTATTATTCGGATCTAATTCAAATTACTTTGAACCTCAATAAGTAACCGAAAATTCGTTATAGTGTAGAGTCGAAAATTGGAGTTGTCGATCAAGTTGCCAAAACAAATCATTATTTGTTTTTTTTTTGTAGCTGACTAAAGTGCGCGGTGAATGTGATAATTTGATTTCGATTGCAATACATGCAGAAGCTAGGGGCCTCACGCCAATTTCCATATTTAAAATATGAACAAATAATATGAATTTATTTATGTTTCAACATATTAAACAGATATGTATGCATAATTCCAATTTTGCTCAATTTTTTTCAATAAACCGACTGTCAGCAGAACCAATCTGTTGACGTCATTATCGCTTCAAAAATTCTGGAAGTGGGTTTTGGTGGATCCTCAGGATTTTTCAAAACCAATCCTGGTTCTGCAAGTTGATCCTCAAGATGGACCAGAGCATTGTCAAACCCAGTCTGATCTATGATCTATCCTGAAGATCCACCAAAACCCACTTCCAGAACATAACACATCGGTCAATAAGTCCCGAGCCTAAGTAGGAAAACAACATTTTTTTGCCAAAATTCAATTTTATTCATCAACATAGTCCCCTTTTAGAGTGATACAATCATTCCAACGCCTTTCTAGCTTTTCGATACCAGTTTTGTAGAACGATTTGTCCTTGGCCTCAAAATAGGCTTCAGTTTCGGCAATCACCTCCTCATTCGAGCCATATCTTTTTCCCTGGAGCATTTTTTTGAGATCGGCAAAAAGCCAGTAGTCACTGGGGGCCAGATCTGGAGAATAAGCCGGGTGGGGAAGCAATTCAAAGCCCAATTCATGCAGTTTGGCCATCGTAACCATCGACTTGTGACACGGTGCATTGTCTTGGTGAAAGAGCACTTTTTTCCTTGCCATATGAGCCCTTTTTTTGGCGATTTCCTTCTTCAAACGCGTTAGCAATGCTATGTAATATTCACTATTGATGGTTCTTCCCTTTTCAAGATAGTCGATGAATATTATTCCGTGCGCATCCCAAAATACTGAGGCCATAACCTTGCCAGCTGACTTTTGTGTTTTTGGGCGCTTTGGTCGACTTCCACCGGCTTCTGTCCATTCAGCTGACTGCCGATTTGACTCCGGAGTGAAATGGTGGACCCAGGTTTCGTCCATGGTCACATAACGACGCAGAAACTCGTTCGGATTGCGCTTAAAAATGGTCAAACAGCTCTCCGAATCATCGACACGATTTTGTTTTTGTTCCGGTGTCAACAAACGCGGCACCCATTTCGAACACAGCTTTCTCATGCCCAAATGATCATGCAAAATTGTGTACACACTGCCTTTTGATATCTTTAGGATGTCAGCTATCTCCTGCAATTTCAGTTTGCGGTCGGCCATAATCATTTTGTTGATTTTTGTGATGTTTTCTGGAATAACTGCCTCATTTGGCCTACCAGAGCGTTCAGCATCATCGGTGTCCGTATGACCACGTTTGAAATCGGCAAACCATCGTTTGATGGTTGCAATTGATGGAGCAGAGCCCGGGTAACACTTTTGAAGCCATTCCTCAGCCTGAACGGTATTTTTACCCATTAAATAGCAATGATAAATCAACACACGAAATTGCTTTGAATCCATTGTTTTGAAAATTACAAAAGTAGCGTCACTTAAACCACTGTAACTAGGTAAATAATAGTCCAAATGTCATGAAATTTTGACAGTAATCTTTTGAAGGTTGGTACTTTCGAAAAATCATGTGGATATTTCATTAGTGGCGCCATACGGTGGTTAGGCTCGGGACTTATTGACCGATGTGTTATTGCTCAAGGTGAATATAAACAATAACAACGCATTCGGGCAATAATACAAAATATTTGAAATCTAGCGTGAATTTTACATGATTTACAAATAGATTTTGCTAAATAAAATTTGGCGTAAAGCCCCTAGCGCAGAAGTCAGAGAGTTTGAATTGTGAGATGAACTCGTGTGACTGTTTATCACATTTCGGCTTGATCCTCACATGTTTGATTTTGAACATGTGCCAAAGCTGTAGATAATTATAGTCAGGAGGACTTTTCGATATTTTGTTTTGTTCAAGAGTTACACCGCACAAGCAAAATCTTTAGTTTGCGTATTTTTTGCCTACATTTCTAAAGGTGGAATCAGATGTTGCAAATAAAACAGCCGTGAGCAAGTGATTAACTCACATGAAAGTGAAATTTGCGGCAAAACTACTCGCATCGAACGCATTTCAACCCGGAAATTCGTTGAAAAAATGCTTACATGAGACATCTAATTTAATTCCCAATCGTCAACTTAACGAAATGTGCATGAAATGTAAACCATTCTTTTTCTTTGAAGAATCCCAGAGTGGTGGACTCGGCGTACAACTTTGGACAAATCATTAATCGTATTCGGTATAATAGCACTAATAGGAAAAGTCGTTCTATTCGCGTTACTTTATGCCGTTGTTGTTGAGAAAAAAGAGTGTGAAAGTAAGTATTCAATTCTTCATATAGCTTATTAGCACGTATCGGACACCAATTTATGCGAAAAATTCTCCACTGTCTTAAGACAAGAACTTAAACTTAAATTTATTTTTCGTGTATGTGTTAATTGTAGATCAGGCAAATAAAACGAAACATATTGATGTGTGTCTAACACCTGGATGTATTCACGCTGCCTCACGTGTCCTCGATCAGATGGACAAAACGTTTGAGCCTTGTGATGACTTCTACAATTTCGCATGCGGAAAATTTGTGAAAGAAACGATGATACCCGATGAAAAGGTATCGGTCGACACTAATTCGATAATTGGCGACCAACTTCAGGAACAGTTGCGTACATTGATTAGCGACAAAATCGATCCAGACGATTCGGCACCATTTAATATGGCTAAGAAGCTGTACAAAGCCTGCATGAATAAAACGTTGATTGAGGACCGTGGATTGAAACCATTGTTCGATATCACAGACCAACTCGGCGGATGGCCGGTTGTCAAAGGTGATGAATGGGATATGAAATCTGAATGGAGCTGGACATGGGCTGTTAGAGAATTCCGTAAAATTGGCTTCAGTGCGAATTACATATTCCATTTTTCTATTGGCGTTGATTTGAAAAATTCTACAGCTCGAATAATTGACGTAAGTTTTTTTCTGTGTTTCGTACATACGTTCGTTATAGAATATTGGATAGATTTGTCATAGTTGAGGGTGTTATTGATCATCTCGCGCTCCAAATAAGTTCCACATTTGATGACATGTTTGAGTTGTTCTGTGTTGTTTTGATGTGTTTTATTGAATAAACAACAAATGTTGCCTATACTCAAAGATACGTGAGACAAGGAACGATTTTCAAACACAATTTGACTTGAGAGCACCAGCAAAGTAGCTAAGATGCTAATAAAACATCAAAACAACTCTTTCTACTCGAGTCTTCGCGTTAATTTTAGGCACACTCCTTTCAAGATGTACTAAGAATGGGAGAAGAAAAAAACAAGAAAACGTGATCATTATCTTCGTAAAAATAAAACAAAATATATCGCCTCCGTAAACAAAATATGTTGTTAGCAAATTGGGTTAAATTAGTTTAGTTGCTAATTCAATAAACGTCTATAAATGCTAGCTTCTTATATTCCAGATCGATCAGGCTGCGCTCGGTTTGAGTCGAGAATATTTGAGCAAAGGATTGGAAGACAAAATCGTTAAGGCATACTATGAATACATGGTTGATATTGCCGTTATATATGGTGCCGATCGCAACCGTGCCGAACGAGAGCTCATGGAATCACTTCAGTTTGAAATGAAATTGGCCAATGTAAGTTGTCGCACTCTTTTATCCGTGCACACGAGAGAAGATAGGAAAATTAGAAAATTAGAAAATATGCTATATACCCTACAAGAGTTTTGCGACACGTTTACGCAAACGTATCGCCAACCTTCCGCAATAATTGTCACAAAATGCATGAACTGCGATCAACTTCATTCGAATTCAGCATGTTGTATTTTAAAAGGCTGCAATGGCTGATTATTCTACTTAATAATTATTTTGAATAAGTTTTTATTTCTTATTACCAACGATGAGCAACATGAAAAGTTTAAATAAAACCATTTGAAATTATGTTTTCAATGTAATGAAGTTGGATACAATTCGAATTTACAGGTTTACGCAATGCGATATGTCGCAGATATGTCGGCGTAATGATTATGCGTAAACCTGTACATTGAAAAACCTATCGCAATGCGGAATGTCGCGGGAAGGTTTTGCTTTACGGCGACATGTCGACGTAAACCTCAATGTATCGCAAAATTCTTGTAGGGATACCAACTGAATGACATAAAAAACTCTTCTTCGGTCGCATAGATTTCCCTGCCGAATGAAAAGCGAAGAAACGCCACAGCACTCTACAATCCATATACATTGAAACAAGTGCAGCAGATGTACCCATTCATTCAATGGGTTGAATACATAAATGCCTTATTACCACCGTCATTGTCAGTCGACGAGAATGAGGTTATTGTGGTTAGTGTGCCGTCTTATTTCGAAAGTTTGGGACAATTGTTGCAAGACACACCGAAGCGTACCATTGCGAACTACATGATGTGGCGTGTTATAGACTTCTCATCATTCTTCCTGACTGATGAAATTCGCGGACGGCAATTGGTGTATAGCACAGTCGTCAGCGGTGAGCAGGAGCAATTAGCAAGATGGAAAGAATGCACTGACATCACTAGTGGGAACATGGAGGTAACCAGTGGCAGGTAACACGATTTATTTTGGATAAAATCTATAATTTAATGTTTATGTTCGATTTTTGGTTTCTGTTTTCGTCCAAATTGTAGTTTGTCAATAGCCGTTGGTGCGCTTTATGTGCGAAAATACTTCCGACAAGATTCAAAAGCTGCCGCACTGGATATGGTCAATGGATTGCGCAAAGAGTTCGAACTCCTGTTAAACGAAGTCAATTGGATGGACGATGAAACACGCAAATCAGCGCTCAACAAATTAAAAGCCATGTCTACACATATTGGCTACCCAGATGAGATTATGGACAATGCTAAAATTGAAAAATACTACGAAAACTTGGAAATCGATGAAAATAACTATCTCTCGTCTGTTTTGAATATGAACGTGTTCGGTACGGATTATGCATTCAACAAACTTCGCAAGCCGGTTAACAAAACTGATTGGGTCAATTATGCACATACAGCCGTTGTTGATGCTTACTATTCGCCTTTAGACAACAGCATAGGTATGAAAACTATTCCAAAACGAATCACTTCAAAATAACGACCTGCTTGAAAGGACTTAGATTTTAATCATTACATTTCATTTGCAGAATTCCCAGCAGGTATTCTACAAGGGCAATTATTTTCAGCCGACAGTAAGTTCTATTCAATGCGATTGTGTTTTATCTTAGCATATCTATATCAATCTTTTTTTTTTACAATCATAGGACCAAATTATCTCAACTTTGGAGGAATTGGCTCTATAATTGGTCATGAGATTACCCATGGATTTGACGATGAGGGCCGTCAATTTGATTTCAATGGCAATTTAGTTGATTGGTGGAAAGAAACAACTAAAGAACACTACTTGGAAAGGGCTAATTGTATCATTGAACAGTACGGAAATTATACAGAGCCTTCAACCGGCTTAAAAGTATGTAAGATATATTTAGCTTTCACAATTGTTTTCATTCAAATGGTTTCGTTTTGTTTTGTGTCATAAGTTAAACGGGAGAAACACTCAAGGAGAGAACATCGCTGACAATGGAGGCATTAAGGAGTCATATCTCGCTTATCTGAAATGGGAAGAAGAAAATGGCCCTGAACTAAAATTACCCGGCTTAGATTATACTCCACAGCAAATGTTCTGGATCTCAGCAGCACAAAACTGGTGCGCAGTAGATCGTCCAGGTATAATATTTCAGATTGAAGGAACATAGGGCTTCCTAAAACATTTTCCCTTTTTTTATAGAAATATTGAACATACAAATAACAACAGATGAGCATTCTCCAGCACAATTCCGTGTGCTTGGACCAATCAGTAACCGGAAAGAGTTCGCCAGTGATTTCAATTGTCCAGTAGGATCACCAATGAACCCAGCGAAGAAGTGTGAAGTTTGGTAGTCTATTACAATAAATGAAATATATAATATTAAATAAAAATAAACGGTATTACAATCAATTTACAATCATTCAATGAATATTTTGAAGAAAAAATTCGTGACAATTAAACTGTGTTTTTTTTGGTTTCAAATGAATTTATCATTACCGGAAAATATTCATTCAACAATTGAATGTGTAATCAAAAATAAGAACACAATTATTATGTAATAAAATTTTAAACAAAACCAATTCAATTTATAATCGATTGATTTCAATTTTTCAATAGTTAACTTTAACAATTGTGATCAATTTGCTTATCGATTCTTTGCATTGCCACGAACCATATCTCAACAACAATTATTATTATTATTATTTTCTTCATTTTTCGATGTTGATGTTTCGCGATGTAGATCACAAGCAGAAGACAAACACTAAATTTACGTTGAATTTTTACACTTTTTCTGAATATTTACGTAGAGATATCATCAAAATAATTCAATATGAATAAAAGGTTGTCCTCGTCTAATTATTTTTTTTCGTCCAAAGCACTCGATTTATCTCCATGGTAATGTTGTTTTAATCGCTGCTCGTTTTGACATAAAAAATCACTCGATCGTTTTTTCAAGCGTACTGTGCAACAGTCTTGTGATTCGATTCGATTTTCTAAAGGAAAAAAACAAAACATCCACAATGTTAATAATTTATAACAAACAGCAATATTGTCCGATGTATCCGATGCAGGTGGTTTGGTGAGTTTCACAGTAGAATTGCACTTGAAAGTACTACCGCCAATGTCAATTCTGAGTGATTTTTGGCAAACGGCAATGCGATCTGATTCCACAATTTTTGCCAATAATCTTTCAGAGAAGATTTTGATGGTCTCATTATGCATCGCGCACACTAATTGAACTGGATTCATGAATTTATCACCGCCGTTCTTAAATCGCACTGAAACATCGGAGTGCTCTTCACTTTTGTTGTAGCTATCATGCAAATCGCCCAGACTATATATCGTGTGGTCATCGTGGATCTCCTGTACTGGATAACTTGCATCTGCGAATTCCACGATGTCACCATCTTCAATCGCCATCAACAAACTGTGTTGATATTTGTATGTGCGTGATAGATCATCTACAGTCATGCCTTCTACATATTTGAATCGCTTCGGGATAGCGTGTGGATCATGAGAAGCATCAAGATAAAAGTAATCAATGCGGGTTTCTGTTTGATAGGTGTAAAATATCATCACCTATTAATTTTGAAGAATCGTCCAAAGTTTACATCTGGGGGCAATGGATCGAAAATGTCTTGGCCTAGAAAGTGTAAACGAAATCTTTGTGAATTAACTATCAAGTCGAAATGATGTAGCACACTCACCGTCCGAATTGAAAAAGTTCAATTGATGGTGTGAAAATTCGTTTTTATCGCCAAACTGTTCACAAACAGTTCGTAGTGTCATTTCGCTGTCGAGTTTCAGGAATTGGATATGTTGTTGCAATTGTCATGTACTATTCTATCAAACTTTCGATTATTTATACTGTTACTATTGCTATTACACATTGACATTATTGGGGAAGGATCTAAGTTCGTTTGCCTTTGTTTCATGAGAGAGAAAAATGGTTTATTTTTATTGTTCGACGGTTTCAAACTGCTAAACTGGCAATTGGTTGAGCAGAGATATTTTTCTTTGCAAATAAAAAGGCAGATTTTTAACATATTTGTATTCAAATTTCCAATGCTATCTGTATCAGTGGCGCCTCCATCGGTTTATATTCGAAATGACTTTTGACAACTCAGCTGCTGTCAGACTAAATGTGATTCTTTTCAATGCGCTACTCCACGTGAGAGCGTTTCGCAAGAAAATAACAAACATTTTTATTGTAAAAAAAAGCTAAATTAAACAGTTAAAATGCGTATTGAAGTGTGTTATTTTTGCTCCAGTAAGATCTATCCTGGACACGGTATTCAATTCGTGCGGAACGATTGTAAGGTAAATGAAAAAAAAAGGAAAAAAAAATCGATTGCAGCACATTGTGTATTGTTTACAGCGTGTAAAACAACACAGTGGCACACATATGATTCGAATTTATGGATCTGTTCATGCTCATAATATGCTAAAAAATCATTTTTCTGCATAAGTTTCAAATAATTTCCATTCGTAACTAAAGTAGAAAGAAATTTTTCCATATTTTTCGCACAAAAGACATACAATTCCATATTATTAAAATATAACCTAAAAATGGCAAAACAAAGAGAATGTTATCAACTAAATTGTCGTTTAATTTCCATTGCAGATTTTCAAATTCTGTCGATCAAAATGCCACAAAGCGTTCAAGAAGCGCAAGAACCCACGTAAGGCTAAATGGACCAAAGCCTACCGTAAAACAGCTGGCAAAGAACTAACGGTTGATCCAAGCTTTGAGTTTGAAAAACGTCGCAACGTTCCAATCAAATACAGCCGTGAACTATGGCAGAAGACCGTCGATGCCATTGGACGTGTCAGCGAAATCAAAAACAAACGTACTGGCTTGTACGTCATGCAAAGGTTACGCAAGGGCCGTGAAAAGGAAATTGAAATGGATGTTAAAGATGTACAAAAGAATATGTCATTGATTCGATCGCCAGCCGCTGGTCTGAAAGAGCGTCAAGCTAAGGAAGCCGCACAACAAGCAGCAATGATGGACGAAGACGATGATGAAGAAAACATTACCTATGTCGATGCCAAACAGCTCGAACGACAATTGGCTCAAGGCGCAGCCATGGATTCTGACGATGAAATGCTGGCCGAAGAGAATTGAAAGTTTACGTCATTTTTTTTCTCGTTAGCTTTAGGTTAGTTTTACTTGGCGCAATTAAGAGATTAAGGCACACTGTTTGATTTTCCAATGAATTTCCATCTCATTTTATGTTAATAAAAATGCAATGTTGAATGAACATAATGCGGAAAAAAACAACGATACTGTTTCTGAATGTGTATGATACAATCGATATTGATTACGGATTAAATTTCAGTCTTAACGTTAATTTGATTTGTTGACACAATACATTGAGCATTGACATGGTTTTTTTTGTTCACATTCTATAGTTGAAATCGAACCACTCATTGGGTGACAATCGAAAAAATCATGTCTCTTCTTTTACGTTTCACTAAATTTCTTACAAGTCTACCGAGCCACATATTTACGTGGAAGTTTTTATTCAAATCTCTAATTTTCATTCCATTGATTACTATTGCAACGTTTCTATTGCTATGGTTCTACTTGTCAACCGAAAGTATTCCAAACTTATTTAGCTTCGAAGAGGCGCAGAAATATACCTACGATTATATTATTGTGGGTGGCGGAACGGCAGGATGCATTTTGGCCAGTCGACTGAGTGAAAATGGAGATGCAAGTGTTTTACTAATTGAAAGTGGTAGCACATTCAGCCCACTGGCCATGATTCCATTTTTGACATCGCAACAGCAACGCAGTCGAAACGATTGGAGGTTGGAAACAGTGACCCAGAAACATTCATCATTTGGATTCAGAGATCAGGTAAGGAAATAACACGTTGATTTTTGCAGTCGCATTGAAATTCAATGGGATTATTCGTATGTAATAATTGAAAATTCGTTTCGAATAGATTCAGTTTTTGCCACGTGGAAAGGGATTGGGTGGTTCAAGCCAATTAAATTATCTGTTACATTTTGATGGTGCGAAAAAAGATTTGCGCCGATGGCAAGCACACGGTGCTGAACTTTGGGACTTCGATGATACACCAACCGACATGTACACGAAAAATGATTGCAGTGAAGATACTTGTTCGGCTGATGGTCAAAAGAAAGGCCCAAAAGTGTCACAATCGACTCTATTGAAAACATTTTTGCGTACAACTTCCATATCGTATGACTACTCATTGCTGTCGTCCACATTTATTGATGGTTCAGACGAATTGCATCGCAAAAACATATCGAACCTCGAATATTACCTTGCAAAGTACAATACCGACAAAGGGTTGCGTCACACTACGTATCATGCTTACCTGAAACCAACGTTTAGTCGACAAAATCTGAAAATTTTACTAAGCACTAGGGTGCATCGGGTGTTATTCAATAAGAAGACTGCAGTCGGTGTGTTGGCAACCGAAGATTACTTCAAGAGTGCACCAAAGAAGATTTACGCAGCCAAAGAAGTTATTTTGGCTGCTGGTGCCTTCCATACACCGCAAATTCTTAAGCTATCTGGAGTGGGGCCGGTGAAAGAGCTCAAGAGATATGATATCAATCTGGTGCATAATTCACCGATGGTTGGAAGGAATTTATACGACCACATGTCCATGCCGATTTATGTTAGTGTGAGTGAGAAAATGAGCATAACTCGCGACAAAGTTCTAAGTGTAAAAGAGATTTTGAAATATTTATTAAGCGGAGGAGGGATTTTCAGCAATTTCGGGGTAATAGGCTACCTTTATGATACAGACAATGACCACGGTACGGGCATTTTCGGAGTTGGCAGCATTGATGAGACATTTTTGGGACAAATTTCGAACGCTGAACAACAGGTTAATTTGGAATATTATCAATTTTACTTTTTCCTTTTGAAATGGTTTTTATATTTCACCATTTTTCTCTCTCTATTGTTTCTTCATTTCCCACAAAAGATCTTCCGAGCAAATTTCCCATTTTATAATGACACCAAAAAAGAGGGATTTGTGCTGCTGAACACATGCTACCAACCGCTAAGCCGAGGAACCGTTCGCCTGCAAAGCAATCGAATTCATGATTCCCCCGACATCGATCCAAATTATTTGGAGAATCAAGATGACGTAGATTGTTTGATTAGAGCGATTCGATTAGCAATGGATTTGATAGCAACGGACGCGTTCAAAGCGGTGAATGCAAAAATTCATTGGCCACAATTTACACAGTGCAATAATTTTATCACATACTCGGCTGACGACGAAATGAATGTCACTGATCGCTACTTGGAATGTATAATTAGAGTTGGCGCATTAACCGCTCATCATCCAGGTGGTTCGTGTTCAATTGGGAAATCACCAAATAGTGCATTGGACTCTCATATGCGAGTTCGTGGGGTTCGTCGATTACGTGTTACAGATGCAAGCATTATTCCGTGTTAGTTTCAGTATAAATTTTCATCTGATTGTTAATAATTCTCTTGAAAAATATGTTTTTTCTCTTGCAGCTCCAGTAAGCGGTCATCCACACACCAGTGTGGCTGCTATGGCCGAATGGGCATCTCGGTTGATATTATACGACGCATAATCAACGTCAAATGGACAGGCTTACTTCCCAAGACTATTAATTTAAATAGATGTCAATTTGATTATACTGTATTATTAAACGCATTTTTTCCAAACTCAAACATTTTGAGAGTCCTTTTATTGTTTAATCTAGTTTAATTCAATTCATGCTACAACACGTACGATGTCCAATTTAATTTTAGCGAACGCGAACACATCGGATTGCATCCGTATCTCTCAGATTTCTGTAAAAGCAAAGACACATCAAAATTAGATCGGTGTGAAGGTCACACATGTTTGCCGCTACTTATTCTGTTGTTGTATCATACGGTCGCAATGTTGGTATTTGTTTACTAACTTGTAATTGTTGGCAAGTAAATATATAATTTTTGTGTGCAACAAATTCAATTTTCACTTGGGCTTTTCATAGCCAACGCTACCAATTTTTTTTATTACTTTGCTGGGTGATGAAAATGAGTGAGTATGTTTTGCTTTTAACTCAATCCAAATTTCAAACCACACAACAATGGGATCACAGTAATGTTTTTTTTTTCTCTCTAAAAAGTCGGTTTCTGACCGAATGATATAACGAAGAATGGTTGTTGTCAGCTCTCCACTTGGAATATAATTGAACTAAGTGAAGTGCGCGTTTAAATTTATCAAAATCGTATCCGTTTCGGATTGATTCAATTACGACTTTAACATGTTAAACACAGTGAAGCATCGCCGTGGCATTGTGTGTCGTTCATGTAATTTGGCGCAAAGCACTAGTCATCAGTGAGTGTAAGTAAGGCATTCGGTTTTCGAACCACACAAACGACACGCTTATACAAATTGAAGCACTCTCACAGCTTAACGTATTCGAGTACCGAGTTCAAATCATGCGGAAGTGATTTCGTTGTGTGCATTCACACCACTTTTTGAGCGTATTCGATCGACAGCTATCCATCGGCCAAAATAAGAGCAAAAATCTCACTTGATCAAAAGAACAATGACATGATTCTTGCGAAATGAGGCAAATCTATTTTTATTTGTTAATTTAGCGAAGGTAGCTGGATGGGCAGAGATCTAGCTGAATTACATACGTTAGGAATGTGATTTCATCACATGGTTCACCACGATTCTCGTTTGTGATAAAGAAATTATACATAATGATCAATTTGATATGTTTGCATATGTACACTTCATCGAAGCTGAATAGCTTAACTAGAGTATGTATGCAGTTGTTTCACTCATAAGCGGTTGGCTTACTACGCTTTTCTGAATAAGAAGCACACAAATCACAAACGGAATTTATCTGTCTGGCTCAACATCGTTTGTGATTTCGCGTTTGACCAACGTTTATCTGTGTATACCGCGCACACAAATACACAATCACACATGGCCCTATGCTTGTATTTATAGTCCAATTTCATTGCGATCGTTGGAACCTTGATACGATTTGTTAATGAAATCAGTTCAGCGAAATCTTTGTCATTTTGGTGGCGATCGTGCTCTTTAACCGATGTAATTTTTTTCCGTGAGGATCCGACGATAACATATTTCGGGTTTGTGGAAAATATTCAAGTGCCAAGGCACAGTCCGGAAAGAGGATTCTTTATTGATTGAATCGCATTGTTCAGTGTGAATTTTGTATAGAAAAAATTGAAGAGAAATAGTGGAAATTAATCGAAAATGCCGGATATAAGTGATGTGCTTGAGTTGCAATTGCAACGATTTTCCTGGTCTGACTACACATGTTTTGTCATGATGCTGTTGGTGTGCATCGTGATTGGCATTTACTTTGGATTTTTCGAGAAAAAGCCCAATACTGAAGATGAGTATTTGGTAGGTGGAAGAAATATGCCTATTGTGCCTGTTGCATTCTCTCTTGTGGCTAGGTAAGCACCTGGTTGATACACATTTTTCAAAACCGCCTGAATAAAAAAAAAATTGTTTAGTGACTCTGTTCGTTTTTTCCCCCGTTGGAATACAGTTTCATAAGTGGAATTACGTTTGTGGGGCTGCCTACGGAAGTATATTCGTTCGGCATACAATATTTGTACATATCAGGTGGTGTTTTATTAATGGGATTTTTTATGAGCACATTCTATTTGCCAGTATTTCATGAATTGAACATTACGTCGACATACGAGGTAAGATACATAGAATCACAATGAATGAACCGAAGCATAGATACAATTTCAGCCAATTTACATTCACTATTCATAGTACTTGGAGGCTCGATTTGATCGTCGTTTGAGAATGTTCGGTGCGGTGATGTTTACTATAATGAACGTAAGAGGCTTACACAAATCCTCTGCTCACTAAATTGATGCAATCTAAATTGAATCAAATTATTTTTAGGTTGCATATCTGCCAATTGTGGTTTATGTGCCTGCATTGGCATTCAACCAAGGTATTTTCTTCATATGAGTAGAATACATTGGAATTTTCTTAATTTCGATAACATTTCAGTTACTGGAGTGAATATTCACACAATCACACCGATAGTGTGCATCATTTGTGTGTTCTACACATGTGCGGTAAGTTGTTGCTTATATCATGGCATAATTTGAGGAATTTCGATTTTTGAGTATTGACAACTGCCATTTGATCTGGGGCGATTAAAGGTTCAAATATCCGAATACATGATGAAGCTTGGAATATCTAGTCTTAGTTTTAGTATATCAGACCGATGGATTTAATTGCCAAGTATTGGAAATTGCAATGGGTTTATGGGCAGTCAGGATTACAACAACAACAACCTACTGCCCATAAACCCATTGCAATTTCCAATACTTGGCAATTAAATCC